CTATCAAAATGTAAACATGCATTGAGTTATTCTTGCTATGTGTGTATTAACAATGCACACTCTTACATATTTTTAATATATAAATTCAGTAAAAAAATCTAAGGGAGGATAAAAGTTGAGTATTCTTACCTCAAGAGCTTTTACAAACAGTTCTCAACACTAGTTTTGAATTGGTAACCACCAAGCAACCCTCTCATCTTCCTCTCTTTTTCCTTTCTTTTTCTCCTCTCTTTTTTCTTTGTTTTGCTAAGTTGGGTGTATGTAATTGAAGGGGTGAATAGTGCTCTTAGTTATAGGAGTTTCAGGACCTATTTTATTTTTATTTTATTTTTTATTTTTCCTCTTGTCTTGGGAATTATTATCTACAAGCATAGGCTTAGAGTATTAAGGCATGCTTGTCCACCTTTGATGATGTTGTGTGTGTTGTTGGAGAAGCATGCTCTTACATATGCATGCATAACAAAGCCCAGGGAAAGACTTTGGGAAGAGGCCAACCATTCTCTCAATTTCCTTTTATCTATCTATCTATACTATTATAAAGTGAACACATAACTCTTATGGTGTCCTGAAGCTTTACTCTCCTCATGCCATGTGGCAGTATTTTTTATTTTTTAAAAAAAAGTTAAACAAAGAGATGGGCAAGACTTGAACCCATGGTCATGGGTTTAAGTACGAGGACTCATACCACTTAAGCTAAATACACATTATAATATTAATTTCATTATTATTATTTTTTATTCCTACTTATTTAAACTGCACACACATCGTGTGTGCCACCCACTAGTATATATATATATATATATATATATGATTTTGTGTCACTTTAATATTATAATATTATTTTATGTAACTAAAAGACATGAGATTGAACCAATTAATCTCCATAGGTTAATTTTCATGTGCACAAATTATTAATGCAAAACTTTATATAGAATAATATATATTAAGAGTTAGATTTGTATAGTTATAAAAGTGAGGACAACGACGATGATGACGACAACAACAACAATAATAATACTATGAAGATAAAAATTGCACTAATTAAATAATTAAAAGTTAATTATAGAATTTCGTCACAAAATGTTGTTATGGAATTAGATTATGGATGTTGATTACAAAATTTAAGTAGCTAAATATAATTACCAAAATAATTTAATATGTAAAAATATGGATTCTCACACCAACACCCATCCAGCAATAGGAATAAATCAAAATGAAATCATAAATAAGGACAAACAAGTAAATTCAAAAATCAACAAATCAAATAAATATAATATACCTAAAATAAAAAAAAAGGACTAACTAGTCTAAGTGAAAACACCTAAGACTAAATAGAATAATATTTCTCCAAATGAGATTTATGAGTAATTTTTCCTATTTATTTTAGAGGATTCTAATCATAAATTAAATTTAAATTTTTTGGGACAACTTAAATTCTATTTCTTTGAAGTCAAAAAAGCAAATGAAAAATCATATTACTCCTACCAATCAATCTATCTACCTATCTATTCACGTCAAATATATGTTCATATATCACTTATTTGTTCACCTGTTCATGTCACCACCACCATTAGTTACCAACGTGGGCCACTACCAACAACTTCTTCTTTCCCTTTTTTTTTTTCTTTTTTTTTAAATCATGTTACCAGCATCAATGATGATTGGATCTCTAAAATAATTATTAATTTTTTTATTAAATAATTTCATTAATTATGTCTATATCTCTAAAAAAATAAATTCTTAGACCTAATACCATATGAATAAATTAATCACAAAATAATAACATAAATATCATATTAATAAATAAAATTTAAATTTGTATAACATTTCTTCCATCTCATCCAGTTTAATTATGTGCATCTATTATGTAATATATTTTGATGAATGAGTATATTTTAATGATTGATTAGGAGAAATTAGTGAAACATCTCTCTCTAACTTTGAGTAGTAGAAGAGATCCAATATATTTTTTTTATTAATTAAGGTCTCTCGATATTTCTCTGTGATCATATCAGAAAAATTTTAATTTCTCTATGAAATCAAAAAGATATCTTTATGTCAGGGCAAAATTTATTTGTGCCAAATTTTTTTTGTGAAAATATTGAGAAACCCTAACTACTATGAAAATATTATATGTCATTTATCTTATAAAATCTTAATATCAGAGATTTTTAAAAAAAAAATCTTTTTTTTGTTTATTCATTTAGATTTATGTGCATGTGTACAATATTTGAGAAAAAAATTATTTTACTTGATAATCACAATTATATAATTTTATTATATTTATTTATAAAATAAATGAAACTACAAAATGCTATATTTTTAAAAAATAAACTAAAAATATATTTTTAAATTTTTAAATAATTAATTAACACTGTATAAAAAAAATTAGTAGCTAAAAAGTTGACTTTTGCCGACTAATATTATTTTTGGTAGCCAATTCCGTGACTTTTGGCGACTAAATTAGTTTTGGTAGCTAAAAGTAATCGGCAAAAATGCTTTTTCTTGTAGTGGAAGGTCAGAGGTTAAGATCTGAATCAATGGGGCGATTACAATCTCTCTGTTATAATCTAATTTACTAATTTATCAACATTTTATCACATAGCAAAAAAAAATTGAACTAAGTGGTCCAATTCATTTAACAATAATTCAAGACTCAAATAAATTTCACATAAAAGTCGCCTAATTGTCCGATTAAATATGAATCACATCCAATGACTCATCTTGGCACCTAGCCAATAAATTAATTAGGAGGCCGGGTGCACTATATTATCATGTTGATACAAATAAATGAAATTTTTATAAAAATAATAATTATTGATAAAAAAATTTAAGGCAAATTATAAATACTCCCTCGAAATTTGGTAAAAATACAGATTCTTCCTGAAGTTTGAGAAATTACATCCCGCCCCCTGAGGTTTATATTTTCATACAGATTCCCTCCTAATTTGTTATGTAAATTTGACTCTTAAAGAACAATTTTTAATTTCTCAAACCTTATGAAAGAATCTATATTTTTATCAAATCTCGAAGGATGTTTGTAATTTGTCCAAAAATTTAAAATGACTTTTATATATTGTGACTTTTTCTCTCTTTTACATGGCATGCCCGGACCCATGGCATAACCTCTCGACAAAGACTGACGGGTACAACGATGCGCGAAACGTGACAACACCATCTCTTTTTCGCCACCTTACGACTTCCCTTGTAGTACAGTAAGGCTGTGTTTGGCTTATTGGAAAGGAAAGGAAAGGAAAGGAAAGAGCTCTCTCGTGTCTCTTTCTCGGACTCTCAAACGCTAATCCAAGCCTTTGTTTCCCATTGCAACGTCTCACTGTAACTCTACCCTTTCCCTTTCTGTTTCCAAGAACTGTCTGTGTATACAATTTGTGTATATATCGTTTATGCATGTATAGATTTTTATTTATAAATTCTGGGAAATATTTATAGATGATTGTTTTGGTCATTGGCCACTTTTAGGAAATAAATTTTCAAAACCCTTTTTGAGACTGCATTGTTAGTACGAAGTTCCTTAATTTTCTGTTCAGGCCTTGAATGAAGTTTTTAGTTTCAGTTTTAGAGTGATGGTGGTTTAATTTCTTATTAATACAGTTGCGTTGGTGTTGTATATCATTCAATCTTTTGGGGGTTTGAAATGTTAAATCCTTTGTGTTCATACATGGAAATTGCTGATATTCTTTGCATTTTCATGACAAAATCACTTGTGATTTTAATAATACTTGTTTTGGTGTGTGTATGTGTGTGCTATGTAGCTCATGTTTGTTTCCCCAGTTTTTTATTTTGCTTACATTCTGTATGCGTCTTCTCTTCCTCCCATTAGAAGTATCAAACAATTTTTAAAAAATTAAATTAGCTTTTTTTGTGAATTCATGATGTAATAAGATATTTTCCTGAAAATCAAAGACATTAAATTTTATTGATTTGTTTTAGTTTTCATTAAAAAAAATTCAAGCAATAAAATTGAAAATTAGTAAACATACTTGTTATTGGCATAACTAATGTTACCGATTAAAACTGCAAATGCGACACCCAAAGAGCAATGTTTTAAAGCGTCTTCTCTTCCTCCCATTAGAAGTATCAAACAATTTTTAAAAAATTAAATTAGCTTTTTTTGTGAATTCATGATGTAATAAGATATTTTCCTGAAAATCAAAGACATTAAATTTTATTGATTTGTTTTAGTTTTCATTAAAAAAAATTCAAGCAATAAAATTAAAAATTAGTAAACATACTTGTTATTGGCATAACTAATGTTACCGATTAAAACTGCAAATGCGACACCCAAAGAGCACAAGAAAGCTCTGATAACCGAGCACTCAGTTTGGAGAGGGATAGAAAATTGATAACAGACCTTGGCAAAGAGTCAAATATATGGATCAGATTGAATTTGAAGATAGATAGATAGGGTAGGAATTTTTATTTTTTAGAAGTCCTAAAAAGAGAGTGAGTAAAAAATCGAGGGAGTTGATAGAAAGGGGGTGAGAATCTTATTACCAATTGAATGTTGTTATGAAGTGGGTTTGAAAACATTCTAAAATATATTTAGGGTTTGTCATTTAGCTTATCTTAACATATTGTATCCTTGGAAAGGTCACTACAATGGAATTTTTTGAAAATTAGGTGGCTTTCATGGCCCTCCTCAACCAACTTGCTTCTGCCACTATTTCTATTCACGTGTGCCTTTGTTGGTTGTGGTGGCTAGTTTTTGGGTTTATTTGTAGTTTATGGTATTCACCCATGTCTTGTTTTCTCTTCTTATTGGTGTTTCTTATGAGCAGAGAAAGTAAAAAAACTAAAAATAGCAAGAGGATTTGTTAAAATATACCAAAACCTACCACTACACCTACTCCACCCACTTCACCTACTCCACCTACTACTCCACCTACTACTCCACCTACTACATACCTACCTTCTTTAATCTTCTATATATATGACTCATTGTAAACACAACATACAACAATCAATAATACAATCGTTTCTCTTTATACATTAAATTTCTACATGGTATCAGAGCTATAAAATTTAGGCCTATATTTCTTTCTCGCCGGCGGGCAGTCGGCCGGCAATCTTGCCTTCGCTGCCTGCTGGAGTTTTTCTACATATACTCACTTGACGATCTGCGTTGATTCATGATCAGACAGTCCAATTTTGTTCCTGCCCCTTTGTTTCTGCCGCCACCGAGCTCGCCAGAGAACTCCGCCATGCTGCTCTCGCTCAGTCACCGAAGAACTCTTCTGCTCAATCCTTGATGGTGTTGTCATAGCTACACGAGACCAACAAATCTAAGCCCGGCTGAGAGAGACGGGATAATTCATTTAGGAGCTGCTGTTGTTGCACATCAAAATCTGGCAACAAATCTAAGCCCTCTGCTGCAATATCTCTTGCATTTAAAGATGATCACAAGCGACTTGACTGAAAATGAACTGCTGTGTATGTGTTGTGGCTCTGTGTGAATGTGTGTATGAACTGCTGTGTGTTGTGTGTGGAGAACCAACCCGAGAGAGAGAAGTTGGGTGGGTTTCTCTTCTCTAAACCATGCTCCACAGGCTGTTAAAGCTCCAAACACCAAACACCCACCTTTATTTTAATATTTCCACCCATTTATTTTAAATTTTTCTTCCACCAACCCACCAACCCACTGATTTTATATTTTATTTTATCACCCATCATTTCTTTTCACTTTTTCTTCCCACCACTTTCAATCAACTTGTCTTGCATAGCGGGAAAATTGATAAAGAAAAAAAAAAATTTCCAATACAATACGGCACACCACTGGCAATACACATCTGCTACATCAGTGCGAGTGTGGCTTCAAAATTTCAAAATCAAAATTTCCAAATTTCAAGATTTCAAGATTGCATTATTTTAACACTCCGAACCCCTCATCCCTTTTCTCTCTCAAGATTTCAATATTTATACAACTGAGGAAGTGAGCATCATCCCTTTTTCATTAATTTTTTTTCTATATTCTCCACCCACACAACACAACCCCTTTTTTTTCTTTTCTTTATTCTTCACCCACACAACCCAACCCTCGACTCTCACTCACTTTTTTTTTTCACACTCATCCACCGCCCAAATTTTATTTTTTATTATAAAACTTAATTGGTGCTCTATTTTTTATTCATTATTATATATTCATCATCACCATGCTTATCATTTCATCACTATCTCCATATTTTTTTTTATTATTCGATTCCCTTACTTTAACAAAAAAAAAAAACAAAAAAACAAAAAAAAACAAAAAAACATTCATCATTCCACAAACTCATTTTATTCATGTCATCTCAGGGATCCACCCCGATCATCATTTAAAAATCAAAAAAAAAAAAAACAAACAAACAAACAAAAAACAAAACAACCGCACCCACAGTGGGATTTTTCTTCTTTACTCTGCTGTGGGTCTCTTCTTCTTGCTTTTCTCTTGATTGTCCCGTAACTGCCCAGCCTCCATGCTTCCTAGACCACCAAGCAAGTTGCCTCCTCCCTGCTCCTCCACTACAGCATATGGCGGACCTCCAAATCGGAACATAACGGTGGCCTTCCGCTTCCGCTCCTTATTTTCCGCCTTTAGCACGCTTATCTCTGCTCGTGCATCCTTATACATGCGCTGGAGCAGAGCTAGTTGGGCGTTTAACTGCTGCACCTCATTTGTCCTACTCTGCAGCCGGTGCGACAGGTTTGTGACCGCCGTCATGGTCTCCACACATGACTTCAAAGTATACTGATTGGCCTCAATATCCGTTTGCACCGCCATTTTTTGCTCCACCGACCGCATCGGAAAGTTCAACGGAGCAAAACCAGAGGCGCTTGGTTGAGGTTCACTGGCCACCGCACCAGTTATCTCTCTTGTTGACTCGTTGAGGTCGGGAAAGAGAGTGAGCAGACCACGGGACGAAGAGGCCATATTCTGGGTAGCTGAACGGGAAGACGAGGCCATTTTCTGGGCAACAGAGTGTTCCAGAATCTCTTTCTCAGAAACGGAAGAGGTTTTTCAAAGGAGTTTCTCAGAGGTTTTTTAGCCAGTTTTTTGTCTTAGCCTCTGCCTCAGCCTCAGCCTCAGCATCCGTCTTGGTTAAATAGCCAATGCAGACACGTGTATCATGCGCCTCTCGGCGCTCGCCGACAACATGGGCGCTCCTTTTGATAGGCACGCCTTTTGACAGGCTGGGCACACCTTTTGAGGATGCGACTTTTTTAGAGGTCCGACAAGACTCTGTAAACTGTCCCGACATTGATTCCGGTTAGTTTCTACAAGGGTCCAGCAAGACTCCGTAAACTGTCACAACCAACGGTCCGACATGACCCCATAAACTGTCCCGACATTGATTCCGGTTAGCTCCTTCATGGGGCCGACAAGACTCTGTAAACTGTCCCAACATTGATTCCCATAAAAAAAAATTAATTGACACAAAATTAACAACCTCCTCAACGTTATGACACCACCATCGAGTGTCTTCACCAATGGTCTGACACGACCATACAGTGTCTCCTATCTTTTTTTATTTTTATGTATTTTCTTGTTTTGCTCCTCTCTCCAAACTCAAGTTGGTTAGTTCCTATCCCCCTTGAGTTTGCGGGGGGCTGTTAAAATGTACCAAAACCTACCACTACACCTACTCCACCCACTTCACCTACTCCACCTACTACTCCACCTACTACTCCACCTACTACATACCTACCTTCTTTAATCTTCTATATATAGGACTCATTGTAAACACAACATACAACAATCAATAATACAATCATTTCTCTTTATACATTAAATTTCTACAGGATTGATCTCTCTTGCTTTGGGCTAATAATACTATTCACTCTATTTGGTTCCTCTTTTGTGTACTTAATTTTTTGAAAATTGTAGAGTTTTTGTTTGGTTAGCCAAAAAATCTGAAAAAACTTTCAAAATCTCATTTTTGGATTCTTTTTTCAAAATCTCTGTTGGTTCCTCTTTTATGTTTTGATACATGTATAGTGTAGAAATTTAATGTATAAAGAGAAATAGAGAATTGTATTATTGATTGATTTATATTGATATCTATTACAATGATTCATGATTCCTATATATAGAAGAGGGTGAGTGTGTAGTAGGTAAGGAGTAGGTGAAGTGGAGGTGGTAGTGGTGTAGTGGGTTAGGTTTAGTGGAGTAGGTGAGGTGGTAGTGGTGTAGTGGGTTAGGTTTAGTGGAGTAGGTTTAAGTGGGTGAAGTAGGTGGAGAGTAGGTGGATTTTAACATATAGTATGTACATATATACATTAAATAAACATGGTGGTGCTTTTGATGTGACAATAATTTTTTTTATTTTTATTGTTGAATGCATTATTTACGTTGTGTTTGGTTGGAGGATTTGGGGGGGATTTGGAAAAGGAAAGAGAAAAAGATGTGTGAAACTGGATGAAATTTAGGTATATTTTATTTACATTTCCCTTTCCAAACCCCTCATCAAATCTCCTAACAAAACACAGCATTAGGCTGCTCTCTCTCTCCACTTGTGAAGGGAAATTTGAATTTGCAATAATGAAATTTTTGGAAACCAATCATGTATCCATTTTCAAAACATAGTTTTCAAATCACTTTTTTGAAAAATAACTCGAAAAACTGATACCAAATATGATGATTCTTGTTCATAATGTTGAAAAGCCTTAGATAACACTTACTTTTCTTTTTATATCTGAGATGCTATTTTCCATGACTTACAATCAACTTTTGGCTTAGCTTATGCAAAATCTTCAATTATTTAGCTTCCAATATTATTTTTCCTCCTTTTAATTATGTAAAGTATTTTTTCTTTTTCTTTTTTCTCTGTTTTCACAGAAACATATGTAACTGAAGTTTATTTAAATTTTGAACTCCAAATAGATTGTGGTTTATTGAATTTGATTATGATCACGTAATTATGTTCTCTGTTTGTATGATTTCATCACTTGTATGTTATCCCTTGTTGTTTTCAACTATTTTGAAGGTTGGTATGGCTAACAACATTGGAGACGGGAGTGAAAGAAATCCAGGGTTCCCTCATGCTCCCGTGGTCCTCAATGAAAGAATCATCTCATCGATGTCCCAAAGATCTGTTGCTGCGCATCCCTGGCATGACCTAGAAATTGGTACAGCTTTTATGCATTATATATTACCACTACTCTCCCTATGGGTATTATATACATTTTAAAAGCAACATCTTAATGTCAATTTTTTGTAGCTTAATATACATAGTATCTTAATCTTTCTGCCTGTGGAGTTCCTCTAGTTTTAATAAATTTCACTTTATATGGAGTTGTTTTGCCTAATCCGCTTCATGATTGCTGCGTATTCTATTTAAGTTTCATGTAAAGTTTCAAAACTTAAATAGTATGCAATCTCACACAAGTGTTTGTTTATGTTTTGTGTTCTTACTTGTGCAGGACCGGGTGCACCAGCAGTTTTCAACTGTGTAAGTTTTACTTTTTTATTATCTTGCTTGCTTGCTGTGAACTTTTGGATGATCCTTTGTAGGGCATGCATTGATTTGCTTAAATGAGCTTGCACTTTGATGGATTCAGTGTCTGTACTTGTACACAATAATTTGTGTTTGGATCATGAATTGAGGTAGCGATTTGTGAGGGGAAAGAAAAAATGGTTTGGAAAAGTGACAAAAAAATAGAAGCTAATTTTTTGTCACGTTTCCCATGCCTTTTCCTTTCCCTCCACAAATTTCCTAATGAAATCCAAGATCCAAACACAATTTAAGAGGCTCTTTGTTGTGGAAGAAATATGTTACGAAGAAACGAAAGTCAAAAGGAACACAGTTGAATCACCCATGGCTGGGGACCTATATACCTTGTTGCCTGTGGTTGGATTAGAAATTGTTATCAGCTGACCTGTTGTCAAGTCAGGTTGCGCCTTGCTGATCTAGAAATTACATTGTCTTAGGAAGTTGGACTGTACTTAAATCCTTATGCAACATTCTATGGCAGGTGGTTGAAATTGGAAAAGGCAGCAAAGTTAAGTACGAGCTTGACAAGACAAGTGGTCTAATCAAAGTACGGTTATTTGTCTTTTCCTATTTCCTTCAGTCTTCGGATTGGTGTAATTTTATAATGCCTTCTCTTATATTGCGAGGTAGTCTAATTTGTGGCAACTTTTTAGAAAGTAGAACTATGATGTATCATGTATCTAATTTCTAGACTTATACACACTTGCAATGCTCTCAACTGGATGGGTTTCATTTCATATATTATCTCTATGCATATGATTCACTTTGTTGGATGACTATATCCTTTAGATGTATGTTGAGAATAAATATATTGATTTTTTTTATTTATAATCATTTTTTCTTTCCCAATTCTCTTATGTGCAAGCATAAAGTCTAATCATTGTGTCCTCATCTTGAAGTGTGTGATTTCATTTCGCAGTTGGAGAAAATTTATTTATAGCATCATATACTTCCCCTGCTTGTCTTCAAAATTTATTGCCATCTTGTGTTGAAATCATTTATTCAGCATGAATAAGATTCCAACACTCGAGATAGAGAATAAGCAACAAACAAAAAAGAAAAAGAAGAAATAACAAAAGGGAAAGTGATGATTTCAATAATGAATTTTATTTTTGCGCATAGGTTGACCGAGTTTTGTACTCATCAGTTGTTTATCCACGCAACTACGGGTTCATCCCACGAACCATTTGTGAGGATAGTGATCCTATGGATGTTCTGGTACTGATGCAGGTAGTGTCTTTCCAATACATCTGATTGTAAGCCAAAGTGAGATGCATTGGATAACTTGTTTCAGCTAAACTAATTGTCGACTTTTGGATTTTCCCTCTTGCATAGGAACCTGTACTACCTGGTTCTTTCCTCCGTGCTCGTGCTATTGGATTGATGCCTATGATTGATCAGGTAAAGACTTTTGAAGTACTTCATTGTATAAAATATTAGTCCTCATCAAGCGGCTTTTAGGGTACCGGAGACTAAGGCAGTCGAGGATAAAATTTGCAAAACTTTTTACTTAACCTTTTCTTTATGCCGCAGGGACCTGTACCCCATGCCATTTATTGCCTCAATGTCCCATAAATAAAATGTTAAAGTTGCTTGGTTTCTTCTCGTTCAACTTGTCTTGTCTAGATGTGTTTTTCTAAGGCTGTGTTTGGATCATGGATTTAGTTAGAGATTTGGAATGGAATGGAAAATGTGAGGGAAATGTGAATAAAATATAAGTTAAATTTTTTTTCCATTTCTCTCACCTTTTCCTTTCCATTTTCAAATCCATGACCCAAACACAATCTAACTTGAAGCTTAAGTGATAAGATCGCTTGCGTCCGTTTCCTAAGGAGTTGGTAGTGCCAATCTTTGCCAGAGTTTGATCTGAAGTTCCATGTTTCTGATATCAATTCTTTTGAATTTCCCAAACAAATTGTCAAACTTTATTTGATCCTTTCAAATGCGAACCCTTTTGTAGGGTGAAAATGATGACAAAATAATAGCAGTATGTGCTGATGACCCTGAGTTCCGCCACTACAAGGATATCAAGGATCTTCCTCCACACCGCCTTGCTGAGATCCGGCGCTTCTTTGAGGACTGTATCCATTTGACACGCACCAATGCTCATTATTTTTTGTTTCTTGTGCTCATAGCTTCACATCACTTCTCAAGTTGTATATCCTTGATTTCTCATGAATGCTAGACAAAAAGAACGAGAACAAGTCTGTGGCAGTGGAAGATTTTTTGCCAGCGGAGGCTGCTATCGAAGCTATCAAGTACTCAATGTGAGTATTTTATGAAATCAAAGCTTTGGTTTTCTATTTTTTAATTGTATTTTTTGTATCATGTATGCTTCCTATTTCAGGGATCTGTATGCTTCTTACATTGTTGAGAGCTTGAGGCAGTGAATCACTTCAAGACTAGAATTATATCAGTTTGTGGCTATTACCAACTAGTAATTGTATTAGCAAGGCTGATAGACTGCTATCAACATGCCTGTTTGAACTCTCAACAACTTGTGATAATTGTGACACTTACGATATCACATCGTATTTGAATTTCTGTTGCAAACTTTTAATTTTGTGATGCTTTTTTCTTTCAGGAATCACTATTTTTATTTGCTTTTCGTTACGGGCACTAGCAGGAACGGAAGTCAAAAATTCACCTATATCTCATATTCACGTGTAATTGCCTTGAGCTCTAGCTTTTTATAAAGTAGTTATAGTTTCAAGTCACTTGTGCAGAAACACTAAAATAAACACAGAATTTTATTTGATTTTTATGGTAATTTTATTAAATTACAAGGGCTTGTCAATTTTATTTTACTTTAGTTGAGTTGGGTTAGGTTAGGAAATTTAAAAAAAATTATAAAAAAAAATAGATAATGGACCAAAAAAAAAAATTTTTTTGCTGGCCATCTACAAAATCTAAATTGTACAGGTTCTTACTTTTTTAAGTTTCGCGATTTTTAATAAAAAGGTAATGAAGAAAATATTAACGTTGGATTTTTTTTGTATATATATATATTTGCATTTTTGTACAATGAAAGTCGACAAAAAAATTATTTTTCATAATTAATAGCAAAAAATAGTTAATTTGGACAAATCTAACTTTTAAAAACCTATCAAAGTAAATTAATAATCTTACTAATCCTATGACCATCACAAGGAAAATGATTGGTGGCCCTAAAAAAATTGTCCCTAATACCCCTAATTTCCAATTTTGTAAACTGTTTTTTTTTTTCTTTCTTTTTTCCTTGGACCAAAAAAAAAAAAAATTTTTGCTGGCCATCTACAAAATCTAAATTGTACATGTTCTTACTTTTTTAAGTTTATCGATTTTTAATAAAAAGGGAATGAAGAAAATATTACCGTTGGATTTTTTTTGTATATATATATATTTGCATTTTTGTACAATGAAAGTCGACAAAAAAATTATTTTTCATAATTAATAGCAAAAAATAGTTAATTTGGACAAATCTAACTTTTAAAAATCTATCAAAGTAAATTAATAATCTTACTAATCCTATGACCATCACAAATACCAAAATATTAGTAGGATACAAACTAAGGACCGGGCCGCAAAAATGGAATCCAAGCCCACGTGTAGGCTAATTTCAATAGATTAACTTTTAGGTCAAAACAATATGCTCAAGTCTTACCTAATGAGTATGGTTTAGATGAGCATGTAGACTAGGGCTACAAATCAAGGAGTGAAGTCAGGCTTCAAACCCTCAAGCCCAAATCTTATTGGTGATCACCCCACCCTATCATGCTCAAATTATGAACTTAGGCTAAATAAAAATTCTTGAGTAGAACTTTCAGATTAAATGATAACATTTATTCATAATTATCTTTATTGCCACGATTGTCAATTTTTGAGCACACCACCATTGCTAGTATCATTATTGCTATCACCATCACCATTAACGTCATTTTGAATGATACAATAAAATTCATGTAAATATTTTATATAATAAATTTGTTTTCCCAAGCTAAAACAAATGGAGCATTTCTTACCAAAATATAAATAAATAAATAAATAAAAGGAGTGTTTAAAAAATAAAAAAAATGTGTCTAGCAATGGCACCATAGTAGAAAGTAATAGGTGATTTGAGTTTTGAAAAAATTACCAACAACTTGCCGATTGCAAGTTAGGAGTTTTTATTCGGGAATTGGCTCTTCTTTAATCTGTTATCGAATTGAACGACACTGTTCAATCATTGTGGTTCCTGATTCGGGTCCATTTCGATAATGTAAATCATTTAATCTGTAGAACCCGTCGAGTATATTATTTTTACAAGAAATATTGTTAATCGGATATTGATAGACATTTCATTACATCTCATTTCCGTCAATGACATGTTTAATTTTTTAAATAAATTGTGACATAAATGTGATTTGATCAAATGACTATCGATATTCTATCATCGTAATTTTTTTACAGAAATGATGAAGTTGACAGGCTTTACACTTTGTACGATTTAAATTACTGAAATGAATCTGAATTATGATCCACCAATACCCTCCAATACAATGAAGGACCGAAGAGGAGCCCACTGCTTTTATTTGGATCGAAAATCAACTTTTGAATAAACGACTTTTCATATAGTTAAATTTGGATCGAAAATCAACTTTTGAATAAACAGCTTTTCATATAGTTAATCAAATAATTTTATTTAAAAGTTAATTATTAAACTAAATAATTTTAATTAAAAAAAAATTTGTGCCTAATGAGAAGAAATGATGTGTGGAAGGGCGGCAAACGAGCTGAGCCGAGCCTAGCTGAGTCGAGCTTTAGTATGTTTAGGCTTGCTTATTAAGATTTTAATGAGCTCAACCTCGACCTCGAGCTGAATAAAAATTTAACGAACCGAGTTCAAGCCTGTTCATGAGCCTTAACGAGTTAAAAAATTTATAAATTCATACTTACATGTGAGATTAAAGTTATAATTAAAACTTTAATTATATAATTATATATACAATATATAAAAACATACTAAAAAAGTTTATATTTTACTAAAATAATAATATTTACTATCATTATTATATAAATGTACTATCTATAATTAACTATTATTTACATTTATATTTTTAAAATATATAAATAGCATATTTCTCTTATTTTTTATACATATTTTTTTATTATTTAATATATAAATAATAAATATTAAACGACACTAACGAGCGGAGCTTTAAAATATTTAGACTTATTTATTAAAAATTTAACGAGCTCAACATCATATAAAAAAAAATTAATTCTTATCGAGCCGAGTTTGAGTTTGTTTGGGAACCGCTCCGTTGATTTGCAGCCTTACGTGAAAGTAGAAAAAAGTTTTACAATCCTGTCATTGCCTTGTGGTCTCCACACACACACACACACTACTGTCTTCTACGATTCTACACCTAATGCTTCACCACCGCAGCTAAAAACCAGTCTCTATCTCTCGCCATTCCTGCAAAAATCACAGCTTTGATTCCGAGAAGAAGCAATTCGTGAGGAAGAAGAAGATGGGGACGTTGGGAAGAGCAATCTACACCGTTGGATTCTGGATCCGCGAGACCGGCCAAGCCATCGATCGTCTCGGCTGCCGCCTCCAGGGCAATTACTACTTCCAAGAACAGCGTATGTTTTCCCCTTCCCTGTTAGATCTTCGCCACATCAATTCCTTTTCTTGCCCTAGATTTCCAAATTTTCAACAAATATCGGCTATTTATTTAATCTTGTGTTTCCAATTCTAGGTTTGACTAATTGATTGTCACACACTTATAAAAAAATTAGAATCAGTGAGCTGATGCTTATTCTTGTCAGTTTTGAATTTGCCCTTGATAGAATATGATCTTCTTGTGCTCCATTTTAGATATTTAAAAAATAAATAAATAAATAAATTTATGGGGAATGCAACTAATTCTCAGTACTATTGCCAAATGAATTAGAGCAATAATTTTGTTGGAGATTTTCTAAACAAAATGGGTTTTTGTTTGGAAATGTTTCAGTTTTTGTGAGACTAATAAGTATTTTTATTAAAGAAGAAAGGAGAGGACTTTTTTGAAGATATATGTCAATTATAATAAATGGATGCAATTGTTGGCTTTAAAGATATGCTCAGTTGTACAAAACTATATGTTGCTTGGTCATATAGGCATGCATATTTGTTTCATTGTATTGTGTGGAATGACATGATACTTAGGTTCTAAAATTGTGTTTTTTCTTTTGAAATGATAGTGGTTGATGCACAATTCATGTCTATTTGAATAATGAAACATGATGGTTGCAAATTGTTCTCGTTTGTAAAAGGTGTAGGCGATATACCACTTCATAAAATTCTGTTGTCTATTTCATTGAATTATGAAAACACACAAGCTCATGGTTACTACAAATATTCAGATAGGTGCAAATGCAATTAAAAGTCGTGACCTTGTTACATTCTCTGTGGAGCTACACTGTTGGTATTGTTGAAGAATCAGGCTGTCAAGAAATTCACATTTTCTTTTATGCAAAAATGTGTTAATATGTGAATTAATTCACTGTCTAATTTACTTTTCTTTGCTTAACTCTCACGTATTCTCATTATGGTATGCTTTAGTTTAGTCCTATCTTGCATGGACTCTTCTAAATTTGTGAAATATTGTTGGACAATTGACGCTTGGACTTGGGATGAGATATTTGTGCCCGACATGACCCAACAAATAAGTTTAAGTAGAAGAGTTTTCTATAAAACTACGCATAAGTCTGTCATTCTGTGCTTGAAATAGTTTCTAAGCACCATTTTACCTAAATAAATGAAAGACATATTTATGAAATATAAATTTAGCTGTGTCCTCGTGTCTTTTGGCATGAGGATAGATGAATCCAACAGTTAGACAAGTACCCATACCCGATGCCCGTACGCGAGTCCTTGTAACACAACTTTAGTCATATTTTCAAATCTTTCCTGACATTATTCACCATTTTTAGCATGTTATTGAATGATACTTTTATTTTGTGAATTAATTTGTTTCATATATATGAACTAAACTTCTTCTATTCCGTGCTTCGGATCTTGTTATTTATTTTTATCTTGTTTCTCTTAGTGTCTAGGCATCGGACACTTATGAACATATTTGACAAGGCTCCTGTGGTTGATAAGGATGCATTTGTGGCCCCTAGCGCTTCTATTATAGGAGATGTTCAGGTTGGAAGAGGTTCATCTATTTGGTATGGATGTGTTCTTCGAGGTAAGCTGCAATGTCAATCAATTTTGGGTTTTCACCCCCCTGAATATTGCCTATAAACCCAATGCAGCTGTTGAGTTCCTTCTATCTTTTGTTTCTCCTAATGATTTACTGAAATATATAATGTGCAATCCCTTTTCTTTTCTTTTCTTTTCTTTTTTTTAGTTTTGCAGTACTAGTATCGTTTTTGTATTGATTGTCTGTTTCGTACCTCTGTGCTTTAAAATATAAGCAAGATAATTCCTCTTAATTTAGGGCTACAAGTGGAATTCCAACATAGATTCGGACAGTAGTAAGAACTTCAGAGTCAGGCATTTAAGTAGGGATTTAGAACTGTAAACTTTGAATCAGAGGCTGGACATGCAAATGAAATGATAGAAATCAGATTTTATGGTACCATCATTCTTATTCAAATAATATAACTACCATTAGAGTTCCATAATCTTGATTAACTCAAATTATTTTGTGGAGCTCTCTCATGGCACCTAACCTACCATATAACCTTCTGCATAACTGACTTCTGTATATAACTGAGTTATTTAACAAATCATATAGCTATCTCTGATGATGTGAGACACTCAGTGGTTCAATTGCTGTTAGGCACTTATGTTTCTTGAAGTAATTGATTGCTTTCACTAAGTCACTTCAAGATTACCATTATCTGCTTTCAAGAATTGGATTTTCATTGGAGTGTTAGTTCCAACCTGACAGGTATTTTAGCAAAATGTTTCTAAGTTGTGAAACAATCAAGGAGTAAGCTGCTCCAGTGCTAATTCTGCAGATCCCAATAGAAGTTTGTACCTTTTTTGTTTCCATTGAATAAGTGTTAACGTAATGTTCTATCTTTTCCCATCGAGTACAAGTTTATATTTGAGCATGGTCATCTGTGCTACCATTATAGGAAAACTAGAAAGCACATGGGTTGTTTCATCTTTTAAGGCTTCTTCTTGTTGTTTCCGGGATAAAAACTTTCTCATTGCTCCTGTCTTATAGTTCCTACAAACATATAGACTGCTGAATTAAATTGGAAGGTTCTGTCGAGGTCTTATTTTTTTAGTTCTGCAGCTGTCTAGCTAAAAGGGCATAAGAGTAACATGTCATCTTGACCTCCATCCTCTCGAGAATATTTTGTATTTCAATATCCCCCATGGGGGCTCACCAAGGTTCCCGCATGACCACATGTATTTTTTTAGCCCTTGCATTATTGAAGTGGGAAACAACCCCTCTAGTAATATGGCAATCTAGATTGAGTGGATGTTGCCATTCTTCTTTTCTTTTTTTTTTATAAAGACTCTCGAAAGCATTGTTGCTCATATAGACAATGCTATATTGCTATTATTCCATGACATAAACATTGGTTCCATTGCTCTTTACATGTCGTGGTTCAAAACCAAATTGAATGTGAACTTGGCAAACATGGATAACCTTGTATTTGCAATGCCTTTTAGTGTGATATAGATCACCTGAGTTTATGATTATACAATTTCAACAAGTAATTGGCATAAATTGATCAGGCATGTTCTGTGGATTTTCGTACATTTTAACATGTTACTGTACTTCTGGGTATTTGTGTATTTTGTGAGACCAAATCCTTTGGATTATTTATGAAAGAAAATGTGTTTAGGAAATAAAGAAAGAAAAGAAGAAGAAGAAACAGTTGGTTAGTTAGTATATGAATGAGATGATCTTAGCTCTTTTTCTTCGAAGATGGGTTAGAATGCTTCATTGCTTTCATCTTCTAACAGTTGATGTTCTAATGTAAACAATAAGTTGAAGTGAATATGGAAAATTTCTATGATTGTAAAGCACTGAGGATGTCCATGCCAAATATAGAGAATGAACTTGGGTGTGTATATGCAATGGGAACTTGGTGAAGTATAGAATAAATCAATGTGCTTGTTGATTGATTTTAGGCCACTGGTCAGACAAGATTCATCCTAACAAACCTGTCTATGATAAGTTGCCCAAATGACCATAGACCTTCCATACTTGGAACATTCAAATCGTGAGTTCCCATTATTTGATTGGTGAGAAGCCTGGAGCTAACTATAAGAGGATAGCCTGATAGGGTTAGTGATGAAATTATTTAAAATGGGGTTGCAACAGTTTAATAGCAGAAAAGAGAGGAGACCCAATATCACAACGCATATTCCTCTGACTTTAATCAATGAATGACAGACTTGTATTCATGACAAATTTATTTTTTGGATAGCTAGTTTGTAATTCCAGCTGTCCTGGGTGGTATTAACTGAGATTCTTCATACTTGGAAACTTCAAAGTTTAAACTAAGATGGTGAGTTTGCCAGTGCTGCAGATAGGTTTGACCGTGACCCCTTGACCTTGTGAGAGGAGCAGTTATGTGCTGAATGTTGAGGTAATGACATTATCATACAACAATTGTTGGTTGTGCAAAAAGGTGGAGGTGACAGCACTAGAGGTATTGGAAATGTGACTTTGAAAGTGACGGGAGATGGTGAGAGAGGTATTTTAGAAGAGGGGGGTGCTGGTGGTGAGGGTTTGGTGGTTGAAGGCCTTCTGCTGCTGCTGCTGGTGGAATTTGTGGCATGAAGGAAATGTATGTGCTATTGGATCATAAAGAGGTGGTATGGCTGTGGCTGTGGCTGTTTTGACAAAGCAATGGTGGTTGGATGGGACTGTATGCGATAGTATCTCTAATTTATGAACCATTTATTGGATGAATTTGCTTTCGGCAATGTAATAACAAGGGGGTACCTGTCATACCTACTTAGGGTGTATCTATTTGCCTTCTTTGGTGTAGGTTGATGAAATTGGGAATAATTCATTGAACTAATGAGATTTTTTATTTTATTTTATAATTTCTATGGGAAGTGTTATGCACTGATTTCTTTCTTAAAACCAATCACTAACAGCCCGTATATGTTCATTTATTGCCTCTCTTTCTCCCAGCTGTATTTTAAACTATATAACCCTGCCCAAAAAAAAGAAATACTTCCTTGCAGTGTACTTGGGTGTGCATTCACATGTTGCTCGTTCTTGTACGCAGGTGATGTGAACAGCATCAACATTGGGTCTGGAACAAATATACAAGATAATTCTCTTGTTCATGTAGCCAAATCAAATCTTGCAGGGAAGGTTTTGCCGACTATTATTGGTGACAATGTCACTGTAGGTGAGTGACATTCTTTTGAGTTTTAACTGATATATGCCTGGTTCTGCAGTGCTTTTTCACTTTGCATCTTGCTTACAATTTCAAGTTGGACTGAACAGGTCATAGCGCTGTCTTACATGGATGTACTGTTGAGGATGAGGCATTTGTTGGTATGGGTGCAACCTTGCTTGATGGGGTGTTTGTTGAGAAACACGCCATGGTTGCTGCTGGAGCCCTTGTGAGGCAGAATACAAGGATCCCCTGTGGAGAGGTTTGTAAACATTTCACTGTTGTTGGTTATTCATTTTTTTCCTTTCTTTTCAGGATCCCTTTAAAATTCTAAGGATCTACATGATACTTTCCTTGTTTTTTGCAACTAATCATAGCAATAGTCATGCTTTCAATATTTTGAAAATAGAAATTCGTCATTGGCAATTGGAATAATGCTATGGAAAGGTAGGCCTTCCTCATGAAACTATCTGTTGTGTGGTCAAATAGGACTCTACAATCTATTGAACTCCAGGAATTTTGTGCTTTGGTCTGTGAAAAAAAGGTTAGTATTGGTGAGGTGGTAATAGAAACACCCAAAAAGATGGGTGGAATCATGATTTGGCCTGTGCATGTTCAGTCTTGTGGCTTTGAAGATAGCTTTGACTGCAAATGGAGCTAACCATCTGATGTTTGGCTTTTCTTGTTTTTGTCATCAATGATGGGATTTTGTTGAAAAGAGTCCCCATTGGGGGTATACACTTTTGGGTGCAGACCTCGGTAGATTGTTGTGAGTATAGGCTCAAATATATCTGGATAGCTACTTCTGATCTTATACGTTAGGGTGTGCGTTTGTTGAAGGAATTACCTACCAAATTCCATGTTTGTTTTGGTCAGTCTGCATGCAGGTGTGGAGTTTTGTTAGTATATTCTAGGGTTTAAAAGACCTAAAAGACAATTACCATCTAGCTGGTTGAATCTAGTCATTCTTTATGTTTTTTTGATCAGTTGGTCTGTTTGGACAGATGTGGATTTGAAATCAAGGGATTTGAGGCTGAATTTTATAAAATATAGGAGAGTGAATTTTTTTTTGATAAATAAATTTTAGAACCATAGCATCAAAAAGATGCTAAAAGAATATAAAACGAACCCCGCAAAACAGGGACCTGACCAACTAAATCATCAACAAAATCTAAGATAACAAATAAATTTGGATTCACTCTTCTCGACACATAGTTGTACAAAACACCCAAAAACTGAGACTCGAAACATGTAATGGATTGAGCACTTCCTTGAAAAATCCGACGATTTCGCTCCAGCCAAGGCAACCACATCAAACACAAAGGAGCTAATGCCCCAAGCCTCCCGCCGCTGCTTCCCAACTCAGAAACCCTCCCAACAACGAAGAATCTTCAGCTGAACCCACACCACTCCAAACAAAGAGAAAACAAGCATCCACAAACGAGAAGCAAATACCCGTATCCGAGTCCGTGTAACATGACATCTCCATTAGGCTGAGTTTGTTTAGGATGAAAGTGGTAGAAAGTGAGGGAAAGGGAAAAAATTAAAAAAAATTTTGAGTTTGTTTGGCATGAAATGAAATTAGTGGAAACTACAAGAAAGTTAATCTTCTTGTATAACTCATGTTAGCATGATAACCAAGTTTTTAATTTCTTGCAGAAAAACACAGGAAGCCACAAGAAATTTTAAATTTGTCCATGCAAGGGACTACCTGTAATAGAAATTCAAAATTTCTCTCTTTTTTTTTCTTTTGCGAAATTTTCATCCTAATCAAATGTTTGCAAGATTTTTTTTTCCCCATTTCTTCTCTCACTTCACCTTCTATCACTTGCACTGTCCACCGTTTTTTTCTTTCTAATCAAACAGAACCTTAGGATCTTTATCTTAACAGCCTCTTATTGAATGCAGATTTTATGTATTTGCTTGGGGAATAAGTAAACTTTAATTGATTGATATGTGTCTTTTAAAAACAGGTATGGGGAGGCAATCCAGCAAAGTTTCTAAGGAAGCTCACAGAAGAAGAGGTAGCCTTCATCTCCCAATCGGCCACAAATTATACCAACTTAGCAAATGTTCATGCTGCTGAAAATTCAAAAGGTTTTGATGAGATTGAGTTCGAGAAGGTGCTCCGCAAGAAGTTTGCTCACCGGGATGAGGAATACGATTCAATGTTGGGTGTTGTTCGGGAAACACCTCCTGAGCTCATCCTTCCCGATAATGTCCTACCCGACAAAGCACCAAAGGCTTCTTAAATTGAGTTTTTTGTCTCCTGGTTAGGAATTTCTTCCTGGGATTTGATGCTACTTGTTATTTTGTTATGTCCGGATTTTTGGAGAATGGCTGCCTCTTCGTTTCTAATAATTTTTGGGGCCATGCCGATGTGTTAAACATGGCATACGGTTTTGTTCATCGTCTTTGGTTAATCAGAATTCTCTGTTTTCAGTTTCTAGAGAAAATTAGCGCTACGTGTTCCTTCCTGATGTTTTAGCCATCCGGGAAGCTTAAAAAGATCTGTACTTATAGAGCTCAATTGCTCAGCATATGTTTTACCAGAAATAAGAATGTGGAATTTGATTTGTTAAGAGATTTCTTTTTTCTTGGTTTCTTTTTGTTTGGGTAAAAATAAATAAATAAATAAAAACAAACACGAACTGTACAAAAGTTGGTCCTTGTTACAAGAAGCAAATAGCAATGCAAAGACTGTGGGGTTCATTTCAAATGATAAGTCACCATGGTACCATCAATGAAGTTTTTTAGCAAACCATGTTGCATTGGTTATTAATCTTTTAATGTGCAAAGAATTAAAATATAAAAACTACTTACATATAATATTTTGTATAGATGTAGAATTTTTCAAACTGAATATGAAAATATGAAAATTTTAGTTTTAGATTGGTTCGGTTTGACAGCTCTAGCTGCAGAAGTGATGATTATCGATGAGCAGCAAGTAGATCGATTCTACTTGTGTGATTGCTAAATGTGGTTTGCTATTTTGGTCTTTAAGATAAACTGTCATTTACGTAGATTGATTCTACCTATGTGACTGCCAAATATGATTTGCTATTTTGATCTTTAAGGTAAACTATCATTTAAGTCTGATGGCCTAAAAAGTTTGTCCAACCTCGTTTACAATTTTTAAGATTTGTTATCAAGATGTAAACTTGTAAAGCCAAGTTGGACAAAATTTTGGGTCCAATCGGAATGCAGTCCGAGCTTTAGAATGAATGATTGAACTGCATAGATATTTGTATAATATTTTACGTTGTTTAACATTTTTTTTTTATAAACATATAGGTATGTTTGGTTTGTGTTTGAGAGATGTGTTTTAGAGATAAAAAGTACGAAAAGTTGTTTGGTTTGGTTTTTTTCAAAAGATGTTTTGGAAAATTATTTTGAGAGAGAGTTTTGGAAAAAGTGATTGATTTGATGTGTGTGAGAGAGAGATTTATTTGAAAAACTTGTTTGGTTTACAAGTTTTGAGAAATTTTTTTGGGAAAATTTGTTTGGTTTGATTACTTTTAAAAACTTATTTGTAGAGAAAATTTTCCAAATTTTTTTCAGAAATACAAACCAAACGAACCCATAATTTGTAAAACTAACCTTATAAAAGTAGTTATTTTTTTATAAGATTTGAATTGGTTAAAGTGGAAACTCAAACCACTAAAGTAATCACACCTTTTTGGTTTTCAAAAGTGCGTTTTTTTTTTTTTTTTTTTAATGGTTTTTTTAATGGTATTCGGACTACATGGGAAAGATTGGAAATTTTTATTTTATCTAATAAAGTATACAAAAAATCACCTCTTATCTGTGTATGTTCTTTAGTACTATTCTTTATGTTAACCATTTATCAAACAATGCTACAATCACACACAAACACCCCCATAGAGAGAGTGGATGTGTCTTTGGGTGTGTTACTATCATTTTTCTTTATTAAAACTAATTTAATATGACTTAATGATATGGCATTGTCTTATTATTTAGCTAGCCTTTAATGGTTAGTCAAATATAATCGGCCAAATTAATAAATGTAGCCAATCAAATTGACAAGAAGCAAAATGCCTAATGAATTACAGAGCTTGTTGTAGTTAGAAAAAGTAATAACTAGTTATTTTGCCTAGGAGGTCTCATTGGGAAAGCTTGTTGAAGATGCTCAACTATTCCTTTTATTAATACGTAACGTAACACCGGTCTATCCTATCAAGTTTTATGTCCACTTTATTATACAATAATCAATGGTTCATATTTTTACAAAAATTATTCATAATTAAAATACGTGAACGAAATTCATTCTATATATTATTCACAATACACTAACTTGAAATTTACACTCTATACTTCACTTTCATAAGTTTTTGTAATACCTAAAATTGTTGTACAAGAACTTTATTAGAAACTATTGAAGATTTCACTAACATGATACCTTACAATTTTGCTACTAGCAGAAGGGTCATCATTTCATTCATTGATCCAAGTCCTTAGCTATAGTAACAATGCATTGCATGCCAATCTTATCTTATATAATAATTTGAAAGCCAGGGATGTCAAGTCATGTAAATTCTTTGCACTTTGCAGCCTATATATATATAATGAGAAACTCAGTCCCTATTAGGGTAATGATACATCCTGTTAAAAGTGGTGCTCTAAAGCACTACTAATGAGTTGACAAGTACTTTAACCAAAACAAAAAAAAACACAAGACACAAGCAGTGGGTCCCGTCCATTGCCACATCACTAGTGGTGCTTTTAGAACACCACTTTTAGTGGTCTCAAGCATTATTGATCCCTATTAATAATATATATTTGGGCACTGTTTAAGTGTACACACCAAAGAAAAGTCCTATATATATATTTTTCATTTTAAATATCCTCAATCAAAGTATATGCTCCCCCACTCATCTGTTTGTAATATTCTTCTGGGACCCAACAACATTGAATTCATACTATTCCCTTTTGGTAAAAGCAATTATGTATCAAATCTATTTAAACATTTAAGTATTGAACTCAGCTTTGACATTTCTGCACACACAATATACAATTAATCAAGTGTTTCCCCACTAAGCATGCCAGCGCGAATGCATCTGCATTATATAGGCATATGATAATCAAAAATTATTTAGTAATTTCAGAATATCGTTTAGAATCTTCATGTGATATTCTTAATTAATGAGGTCAAACAAAAAAATGAAAGATGCAGTTGACTTGTCTTTCACTTAATTAATTATGATGAGTCAGATCAATTCTTATATCTCATAATTAAACTTGTGTATTACGGGATAAGATGAATTCATATAACAAATATCAGGTATACATATAGAACTTATTGTATCTATATATATATATATTTGCTCATAACATATTTGGAATATGATAAGTCATCTCCTTTAAAGTTTAAGAAAATACAAGTAGTCTCACAAATTTAACAAAATTATAACAATCTCCCTTTTGGTAAAGTTGAAGAGCTTGAAATTAATATAAACCAGCGGTAGCCTGTGCTATGCGAGGGACTTTATAAATTAAAAAAAAAAATTCATTATAATTATCTTGAAATAATTTAATATTTTGTATTGTGGTATACATGAAATTTATAAGTTAACTTTTTTGTTTATAACTTTTTAAATTATTAGTTTAAAAATTTTTTAAAAAAATGCATGTATATATATATAAATCTACTTAGTGCAATTTTGATAATTTGTATTAAAAAAAGTTAAACTTGATTAAATGAGTTATGACATACCTCTTCTTGTTATGAAAATATACAAATTTAAAAGTTATAATTAAGACAAATATACAATTTTATTATTAAATGTGAAGTGAAGTGATATTTATCAATAATTAATATGATATTTCTATTACTAATCCAATAATTTAAGTTACATTTCTTTTGATTTCAATTTCATAACCAAAAATACAATATGAATATAATATACACATGCATTTCTAGTCTTTAAGAATAAGAAGGTTTCAAACTATTTTCAAACTTTCATCATTTTCTTTTAATTTTTTTTTATCTAATTTGATTTTAAATTAGAATAAAAATTTTGATTTTATATGAATTACTTTAACTTTTTCATTAAATTTTTATAAATTTTTAAAAGAACTTTCATTCTTATTCCAATTTTTTTTTTCTTTTCACTAATTTTGATGAAAAAAAACGATAATTTTCAACGTTTCATCTTTTTAAATTTTTTTCAAATTTTTTATTTGATAAAAAAAAATTAAGGGTTGAAGATTCTCTTAATTGGAATTATAGTAAAATAACATCTTGAAATAGTTAAAATTTGAGTAAGTGATTGGTTGAAATGTATAATTTAATTAATTCTCTTCTCATATTTATATAAAAATTGACACTTATGACTACATCATTTTAAGTTAGATTATGAAAATTTTCTGAGGTATTAAACATTTTTCATATGTAAATATCCTATATATTACCAAAAAAAAAATGTGTAACTTTTGGATATGTGTTTATCAGTCTTATCTTATGGATATAAACAATTGATGTTTCAATTTAAAAAATTAAAAAGTAAAAAAAATATATAGATTGGGTTTTTTAGAGATAAAAGAAGCCATTTAATTCTGCTATATGCTATTTACGATGGACTATTTTAATCACATAAAAAAAATAGAAATTATATTTAGAGATTATCCCTATATATTATGCTATTATATATAACTATAGCTGTAACAAATTAACTATAATATATATGAAAAGTTATATTAAGCTTTCATTTTCAATTAATTAAATTATAGTTAACAAACTAACAAATAACAGTAATGGTATAATGGGATAGAAAGAAGATAAAAATAAAGATATAATGATATTTAAAAGTTTTAAATTTACCTAGTTATACAAAAATCTAATATTATAGTAAAATCTTGAATTCTCAATAAATTTTCACATTTTCTATAAAATAAACTGGCAATAAAAAAAAAATTCATACCCATTTTTTTTCACTTCAATATTTTGATATTCATTGAAGAAAACAAAATCCAATCAAAATTCTTGGCACAAAACGGACATAGATACTTCGATTGTAACCATAATCACCAATAATTCTTTTCCACCATGTAAACCTATAAACAAACACATAAACTTTACTAAAACTGAAACCAAAACAAAACAACAAAGAAAGAGAATCACATAGGGAAAAAAATAAAATCAAAATACAAATAAATTTATGGAGTGGGAGAATATTACCTCCAACAACTTAGAACTCACCTAACCCAATCCGTTAGCTCCTCTGCCAATGCCTGCAAAGTCTAGAAGTTGGAATGACTAATCAGATTATTCTTTAAATAAGACTTGAAAATTGATTAATTTGTCTTATTAAGTGATTTTAAATGGTGATAGATAAAATCAGAAAAATAGATAATTATATTACTAAATCATATTTCTAATTTAGATATTGTATATTTTTTTGAGATCCATATCTAAATTCTTATCTTTTTTTTATTTATTTTTGTGTGGTTTCTATTTGGTTTTTTTTTTTTCCAATTTATTTAAGATGGAGTTGTGGGTTTCTATTTTTTATAATTTAATTTATCTGTGGCTTCTATTTGTTTTTAATTATTATTATTTGGTAA